TGCTTCTGAGACTGTACCGTTGCGTCTCACAGCACAAATTTAATGGTTTGTCTAATTGTCATTTTTACCAATCTTATTATTTTTTTCTGGCACTTGGAATTCTTTTAGTGTTTCTTTTAACTTGTTTCTGTCTATTGTATCGTAGGCAGCTTTGTTATCAATGAAAAGTACTTGTGCTGAAATGTTGTATTCATAGCAATTGATCAGGATTTGTTTTAGCATAAAAATTTGATCGGTTGTTGATCTTCCTTTCCGAAATCCTCCCTGGTATTCTCTTAGATTCTTCTCTATATATATTTCTAATCGTTTTTTAATTAGTATGGCGAATATTTTATAAATTACCTCTAATAAGGATATTCCTCTATAGTTTGCGCATTCAGTTCTATCTCCCGTTTAGTGTATAGGAATTATAATCGACTTATTCCATTTTTGAGGCATTTCTTCGGCATCCCATACTTCTAGTATTAGCTCACCAAGTTTGTTTATTAAGGCCTCTCCTCCATATTTTATGTTCTCTGCCACAATGCCGCTCTCCCGGGGCGTTTTTGATTTTTCATACCTTTTATTATTTCTTCAATTTCTTCTCTTGTGGGCTCTGGTATTTCTTCTATTACTATTTCAGGTTTAAGAACATGACAATTTTCTTCAGTAGTCACTTCTTTATTTAGCATCTCTTCGAAATATTCTTTCCACCTTTCACATATTTGGTCTTTGTCCACTATCAGGTTTCCTTGCTTATCTTTTACATTTATCGTTCTTCCCTGGTACCCAGTTTTGATGTATTTTACTTCTTTATAAAAATTTTTTATTTCATTTTTCTTGTAATTTTCTTCAATGCGCTTAATTTTATCATCCATATACTTTCGTTTCCACTCCCTTAGGATTCTCTTTACTTTTTTCGTTGTTCGGCATACCTCTCTAGGTCGTCTTGTGTTTGCGATCTTAAACCTTTTGATCTCATATCTGATGTCTTTTTTAACTCTGTTCTGCATTCTTCATTGAACCAGTGGTTTTTTCTAATTATTTTTGTTCGTGGTATGTTCTTCAACGTAGCTTTCTTTATAGTGTTTCTCATTTTCAAGAACTTTTGTTGTATGTTACTAGAAAGAAGGAAATACTAGAAAGAAATCTGCAGCAAAGGTAAAAGAGAGAGAGAGAGAAATTGGCAGAAAGAAAAGACGGGCTAATCATGTGATGCACCAGTCTGGAGAGGACCTACCGCATAAGTAGTCTGGTTGAGGAGGTGGACTCTAGTTGGTAGACAGGGAGCTATGGTTGTATCTGTGAGCACGACTTTTCTCGGAAGACTGCATGTGGATGGTGCCTTCTACCCTAAATCCAATACACGCCAGTGCATTCTTAAAAAAACTTCCTCTTACTCCATATTTACGTAATATTCCATGTATTTATTGAATACACTGTAAATTGTAATAAATAAATAAATAAAGTATCTTTAATTATAAACTACTAAATTAGTCGTTAAAAAAAGTAGTGAATTATGGACCAAAAAATGTATATTTCCGCATGTTTATTAAATAACTTTAAAATTTGTAATATTGCAGAGGTTTAACAAACTTCTTTTATTTTCTCGTTGTCCACAAAACTTCCTTGTACTGTTTTTCTAGAGTTTCATCAATTATATTACTTAAATTTCAACATTCAACTCGGAGCTCTCTAAGCAACTCAACAAATTCTTTCTTTGTGTCTGTACTTTCTGAATTATGGATCGGTGAATCTTACGAAGTTCAAAAGCAGTGCAACTTTAAAGTTCTCACGGTACTTTATTACGTTTTCAGGTTTAAGTTTAACGCGAGTCTTTCTATACGACTGGGATGTTTGAATTATGGAAAATTATAATGAGGGGATAACGTTTTGAGAAAAATTAGAAGGTATAATGACAAATGGTTTACGAAAGCTCGGATAATCTGTCTTTATTATACGACCACAAAATTATCAATTTAAATTTTTAACCAATCTTATATTCGTATACACTATATCGTTATATATTGTTATATAAACATGTTGTTTGCAGTTTTTTAGAAACTATTTCCAGACTCAAAGTCTATATACATAAATAGGTAATTTGAATTACAACTTCTTCTTCGCATGCCATATCATATTTATCCGAGGTTGGCGATCACCATTTCGAAGGCTTCTCAATCTTCTGCAATATGGAATAATTGTCGTGCATTTGGTATCTGAGTCCATTCACGAATGTTTTTTAACCAAGAAACTTGTTTTCTTCCTACACCTCTCAGGTCCTCTATATTGCCTTTAACGATCAGTTGTAAAATTTTATATCGACTTCCCCTTACTATATGTCCCAGATAAGATATTTTTCGATGTTTAACAGTCTTTAGCAGTTCTCTGTCTTTGTTGACGCTCCTTAGTCCTTCTTCATTAGTTTTTTCTTGCTTTCCACGGTATTTTCGGCATTCGTCTATGAACCCACATTTCCAATTCTTCAATTTTGTTCATGATTGATACTTTTAGCGGCCACACTTCTGCACTATATAAAGTACAGACCAAACATAGCACTATTCTACGTTTTATTTCTATGTCTGGATCTAGTCGGTCCGTTATCACAGTTCCCAAATATGTCATTTTGTGAACTTTTTCAACTTGGACTCCGTTCAATTAACGCTTTACATCGGAATGTGGGTCACGACTAAACACTAAAAATGTGATTTTGTTTGAGTTTATTTTAATGCCCATTTAATTTCCTACCTCTTGAATACGATCAAGTAGAATTAGAAGACCTTCAATAAAATCATTAAGTAGTTCCCCGTTGATTCTTATTACATATGGTTGTCTCTCAAGTGCCTTTTTAAATAACTGGTCCGAGTAAAAATGGAACAATGTTGACGACAAAATACAACCTTGTCTGACTCCTCGTTTTTCAGTATTTGCATTAATTTTACATGCTGTACTTTATCGAATGCCTTTTCGAAGTCCACGAAACATGCAAATGCATCCTTTCTTTGGTCACGGCTTTTTATAATAGGATGTTAAGCGCAAAAAGTGCCTCCCTGGTTCCAATAGCATTTCTTAAACCAAATTGGGTATCTTCAAAATCTTCTTCGCATTTGCGTGCAATTCTGTTGTGAAGTATTCTGAGAAAAATTTTAAGAGTGTAGCTCATTAGGCTAATTAATCGATATTCTGAGCATTTTCTCGCATTGTGTTTTTTAGGTATTGCGATAAAGATGGATTTGAGCCAATCTGCGGGAATCACTCAGGTGTTATATATTGAATTAAACAGTCTTACTACTACTTTTATGTTATCATTCTCTACTAGTTTCAGCAACTCAGTTGGTGTACCATCTGGACCACAAGCTTTTCTAATTTTAGCATTATTTATAGCATGTTCTACTTCGCATTTCATAATTTCTGGGCCGTCAATACAGTTTTGGTAGAATTCGGCAATATTATTCCTGTCATCTTCAAACAACTCTGATATATACAGCTGCCATTGTTTTCTTATTTCTTGCTCATTTAGAATAATTTTGTTATTAGTGCCAACAAGTACAGAGGGAACTCGTTTTTTAAATGTATTACTCATTTCTTTCAGTTTTTTGTGCACATTAAATAAGTCGTGTTTAGATATTACATCCTCCATGAATTATAACTATTGTTCTTTAAAGTGATATATGGTTGAATGCTCGAATAAGTAACTATAATCAAATAAAAGGCAGATATCAAGCACAAAATTGCCCAAGTACTTTCCCTCTCAGAGCATCTTTAGAGGCATCTGAAATATGACAAGAAACGTTTTTCCAAGTGAATAAAAATTAATCAACTTCGAAAAACTCGAAGTTGATGGTTGATGAAAAGATTTTATTATAACGTTTTGGACTTCTTTAAAATTATTCACTATTCAGCACTTCTAGAAATGTCATAAACATTAAACAATACATTTATAATAAGACATTTATAAAAGTGCTTAATAGCCTAAAATTTTGACGAAGTAAGTCCAAAACGTTGTTTTTGGAACACTCTTGGAATGAGGTGAAGGCTTTAGCGCAAAATAAAACCCAATGGCGCGTTTTTACTGAAGCTCTATGCTCCACTTAGGAGTATATAAGTCCAGAACCTTATATCTTAAAAAATTAATTAAAAAAACGTTTCTTGGCTTGTTTCAGATGCTCTGAGAGCGAAGGTACTTGGGCAAGATTTGATTAAAAACTGTGCCCAATATCTGCCTTTTATTTGATTAAAGTTTATTGTTCCGTATACCTACCCAAAAAGATAATACCTGTCGATCATTTTTCATCGTAAAAGATTAACAAGTGAATATTATCAATGGACCTTTCACTTTATATTGATACTCACTATATTTTCATGCATTTTAGAGGTATAATCAATCAGACAAGAAGTACTTAAAGTTTATATGCTACAAAAAGAAACAAACATTAAACTAAAATGCTAGAATCTTCTAAGGGAAAATAATCCGGAAGCAAACTTAGCCTCCGTTTGGATTTCCGACTGAGGACTATTTCAGGGGGAACATCATTATAGCTTAGAAAAATTATGAAAGGTTACTGGAATCTTAAAAATTTTAAAGGTAAGAGTAAGGTGTTGAAAGATCCGCTTAAAAGGAAAAGACTGAAAGTACAAACTGCTTGCATTCAAGAAACGAATACAAAGTACAGCGGGTGAAAAAATTAGGTGAAGGATCCAAATTGTAGTATTAAGAAGGATAAAACCCCTAACATTATTAAAAACAAAAATTATAAACACGTCAGCATTCATAAAAATAATCTTACACTGTATACTTGTTGAACAAAAAGAAATAGAGATAAAATTTTGTTGCGACATATAAGAGTAGATAAGTGTGAATAAAGTGGAAAAAACTTATTTAGTAATAAATAGAATCAGATAACATTATTACTAGTTTTTAGAAACACTTAAAAGATAAAACGCCCATATTTGTCACATTGTTATTATATAAAACAAAGTGATAAGAGAAAACAACTTACTATATAAACAATGGATAGTTATTATACTTAAACACTTAGACTTAGGTCTAATTTACCGCGTTATAAGGTAAGTGCATTTTAAAAGACTAATATTTGGATAATTATGCATTTATATACTGGGTATTTCCCGTATTCAAGTACTTAACATCATAGGTACTACATATTTTGTTAACTAGAACTTTTCTTCAGTTAAACTCTTTCAAACCATTTTCGCAGTAATTTTTACGATTACGAATATTTCTATCGTATGATCCTATCTATTTAAGCCATCACTGGTCTCACTTTCATTAATTTCTACAGTTGTTCAAGTATGTTTTGGATAGTGCCATCTTTTATCATCCTCCTCTTTAAGTTATAGTTAAGTGGTATATATGTTACTGTGAGGGCCCAAAATCCAGTGAAAGTCGAGATACACTAGTGAATGTCAGCAATCACCAAGTCTTTTGGCATATGTTTGAATTATTTGTTAAATATCATATTTTCTAACATTCAACGGTGAATTTTCACAATCATCCAAGTAAAAATAAAAAATTAGTTAAGTATGTATTAAGATTATTGTGTATAAACGATTGGTAACTAAAACATTATCAACTAACAGAGAAACATTTTTTTTGTAATTATAATATAATAAAAAAAACCAAAACAAAACAAACTAAATGTATTATGTATATATAATCTTATTTATTGCAACAATTTAAACTACCACGACACTTCGAATTACACCAAAGCCCCTTGCCTTTACAATTACATTTAGCCGTGAAACACTTTCTTTTGCAGTTAAAACGCGTATAGCCTTAGCCTTTCGAATTAGCACAAGCTGCTTCTCTTTGTGGCATTTCATCAGTTGTAATCTCATTCTGCAGGGAGAAACAGTAGAAATAAAGGTCAATGGAACACCAATTAACATTAGATATGCGGACGATACTATCATAACAGCAGACAACTTACAAGACCTCCAAAAGCTAATGAACAAGATAGTTGAGTACGGATTATCAATAAATATCAAGAAATTAATTTATGAGGATATCAAAAACTCAAAAAAAATGATGAAAGTCTGACAATTAACGGTAAAACTTTAGAACAAGTTGAAAACTACAATTATCTTGGTACAATAATTAATAACACAAACGATTACTCCAAATAAATCAAAAATAGAGAAAGCACGAACAAAGTTCAATAAAATGGCTTTGTGTAAGAGAACTGAAATTAGACTAAGAGTTAGGTTGGCAAGGTGTTATATTTTCTCGACTCTACTTTACGGGATAGAAGCATGGACACTTCAGGCGTCGACTACTAAAATGGTGAAAGCATTTGAACTGTAGGTGTATAGAAGAATCCTGAAGAACTTATGAAGACTACATTTCCCGAAGTAGAGGTAGAATCCCTAAAATCAAAGCATCCTGATATTTACAGTTCATTTAAAGTTACAATTTTTAATAACAATTTTAAAGAAGCTATGTCTCCTAAAATATGGCCATGTGGAGCTCACGTACAACGTTTTATTCACGTAACACCCAGAAAGCCGCAAGAGATATAGATAAAAGTGTACGAATAGAATCAGCGGTAGTGCAAAAGAATATAGGAAACACCTGTTTTTGTGAAAGTGATATGATAAGTTCTGATAAACAAAAGTTGGTAGTAAATCCTGACCAAACCAGTTTGGTAAGCATTTTTCATATAAATACACAAAGTTTATTAAATAAAATTGATCAACTTAACATTTTTTTAAAAGATAAAACTTACAATATTTTGTGCTTTTCTGAACATTGGCTTAGAGAATCTGAATTAACAACAGTGATAATTGACAGATACTTTTTATTAACTAGTTACTGTAGAAAAAGTAGAGAACATGGGGGTGTTGCTATTTTCTGCGATGGCAAAATATCTACACGTCCAGTTTCTTTGAATGATATATCTTGTGAATATGAAGGTGAATTTTGTGCTTTGGAAATTATAGATATAAAAACTATTCTAGTATCAGTGTATAGAACAGGTAACGCAGATTTCCAAATTTTCTTAGGCCTATTTGAAAAATTATTAATATTCTGTTCTAATAATTATGTTCAAACAATTATAATTGGGGATTTCAATATTGATTTCAAAGGCACTTCAAATGAATTAAAATATTTTTCCGATCTAATTTCTTCTTTTGGTTTAACTATGAAGATTGATGAATTTACAAGAATCACTGCTACATCAGCAAGGTGTTTAGATAATATTTTAACAAATATAGATAATGAAATAGTTGGGTGTGGTGTTGTAGACCCATGCCTTGCTGATCATTGTGCTCAATTCCTGAATTTTAAAATAAAATCTGAACAAATTGACAATGATAGGATATTCAGAAGACACATAACATGTAAAGGCACCCAAATGTTAAAACAATTACTAAAATCTGTGGATTGGTCGTTAATAAACAATTCAATAACAGCAACGGAATTAGCTGAGTTCATAATTGACACATATGCAAAATTAACTGAGGTTTGCTTTCCAGTAAAAAAGTCAAGAATTCATTTTGAGGCACCTGTTTCTAGGTTTGACGATGAACTAAGGAAAATGCGAGTAAACCTTTCGAAGATAAAAATTACTGCTAACCTTACTAGTGATTACACTCTGTATAATCAATTCAAAAAACACTATCAATTAACAATATCAGTAAAGAAAAAACTGGCATATGAGCAGTTTTTCTTAAAATCTGATAATATATCTCGAGATTCTTGGAAAGTCATCAATTATCATAGGAATAAAACTCAAAATAAAAAAGTAACTTCATGTAATATTTCATCAAACGAGTTTAATAATTACTTTACTTCGGTAGCGGGAAATATATTGAACTCGTTAGATGAGACAGATGAAAATGATGCCATGAATTTTTTGGAGGGAATATACTCCCCTTGCCACTCGTTGTTTTTAACACCTGTTAGTGATACTGAAGTTAGGAATACATTATACAGCTTGAAAAACTCAAAATGCACTGATTTTTACTTCTTAAACAAACAATTAGTGATAGAAACTCTGGATATTATTATTGATAAACTGGTCATACTCTATAATCTTTGCCTTATCGAAGGAATCTTTCCCGATGTATTAAAAGTAACAAAAGTGTTACCGCTACTCAAAAAAGGATCTTCAGAAGAAATTGAAAATTATTGCCCTATTTCTATTATTCCCATTCTTGGTAAAATTTTTGAAAGTATTTTGAATAACCGTTTAATAGAGTACATAGAAAAGTACAAAATACTTCATTGTAATCAATATGGTTTCAGAAAAAAATGCAGCACTACTCAAGCAATTCAGGAAATTGTAAGGGAAGTAGTTGATGGCCTAGAGAGAGGTCACTTCGTGTCCTTAACATTGTGTGACTTATCTAAGGCTTTTGATTGTGTCTCACACACTTTACTTTTAAACAAAATGCACAAATATGGCATAAGGGGAAATGCTCTTAATTTATTTCGATCGTATTTAATAAACAGAAAACAGGCCGTTTTTTTAAATAATAACTACTCCAATTTTCACAATGTTGAACATGGAGTTCCCCAAGGGTCTATATTAGGACCTACATTTTTTCTTCTATATCTCAACGATATATTTCATTATACCCACCCCTTAAGGTGTATATGTTTTGCAGATGATACAACCGTTATTAGTACCGACCAGAATCAATATAATTTAAATAACAAAATAGGAAACGATGTGCTTAAAATTAAAAACTGGTTTACACATAATAAACTAAAACTAAACGAGGATAAAAATCAAAATATAGTTTTCAGTTCAGATCGAAGACACATTTTTGGATATAGCATCAAATTGTTAGGGATTTTTATGGATGACAACTTAGATTGGGGCATCCATATAGACAACTTAAGTTCTAAACTCGCCAGTACAATATTTGTAATGCGTAACCTGGTTTATTTGGTACCTAAAAGTACCCTTAAAATGTGTTACTTTTCATTGTTTCATAGTCATATACAATATGGAATAGCTGTTTGGGGCAACTCTGGTCATGCCGACAGAATATTTAAATTACAAAAGAAGGTGGTGAGGATACTTGCTGGAGCGGATTTAAGGGATCATTGTAAACCATTATTTTTGAACATGGGTATTATGCCTCTACCTTCGCTTTATATGTATGCAACACTGTTGGAAATTCACGATAATAAAAATAAGTTTACTATAAACTCCCAATTACATGATCATCTAACAAGATCGAGGGATTTAATTAGGTCACAACGATTCAGACTATCAAAGAGCACAAAGAATTCAATTGATATTCACTTGTATAACTATCTGCCTAACGAAATAAAAATTCTGTCTCCACCACTGTTTAAAAATAGGATCAGAAAGCATTTTTTAACATATTGTTTTTACTCAAAGACAGAATACCTCAATACACCTTTATAACGTATACCCAGTTTGGTCAGAATACTGTCGATTTACTATCTACATATCACATTGTATTATTACTATTAAAGTTTTATGTATTAGTTTATTTAGTCATCGATTCGGGAATATTCTTAATTATTTGTACATTTTTGTTACTTCCATATTTCAAAGATTTTTTATGTGACAGTTTCGGTTTGTTTAATTTGAATTCTTCTGCTAATACTTACATATGTATATTACTTTAGCCAATATGGTTAAGTTAATTTTAAGTTTACATTATTATATCTTTTATTGTATTTTTTATACGGACTTCAAACTTTATGTAAAGTGGTCAATAAACTTTCTATCTATCTATCTATCTATCATCGATTGAGCATGTAAAAAACAACGAAGTCATGTGAAAAGTCAACAAAAGAATGTAGATATTGGAAACCATTAAGACACGAAAGCTGTAATACCAGGGGCATGTTGTGCATAATGAAAGATCCAACATAATTCAATTAATTATACAAGGGACAATCCATGGCAAAAGAAGTGTAGGAAGGAAAGGAATCTCATGCTTGCGTAACTTGAGAGAATGATACGGATGCACATCAATTGAACTATTCAGAGCGGCAGCATCAAGATCAGACTAGCCATGGTTATTGCCAACCTTCGTCGCGGAGATGGCATGTAAAGAAGAAGAATTTCATCCATGGAAAGTAATTTTTCTTTACAAATTTCGAACTGATTGCGTATCAAAACTGCTTGAAGGTAGTAGGTAGGTTTGAAGGTATTTTTGTTTGCTAGTTTATAATCCTCTATTTTAACAACAACCCCGTTAACATATTTCGTAGTGTGCGGCCCAGGTCAACATTAGGCACTTAAATTTACTCAGTATCACTTATCTGGATCAGAGGGAACTTTTTTCTGAGGTTAAAGTAAAGAGAAGAAATTTTCGTTCGCGCTGTTCAGCCAGTACTTAAAATGATAACGTGCTGATCTGCGGAAAAATGTAAAAGTGCTACACTGCAAAGCAGTAGGTGCTAGAGACATAGGGGTGCTAACTAGCGCATATGTTCCAATCAAGTTATTTTAAAAAGTATTCAAATAGACCTCTAGCTGTTTCTCAATTTCAATATTTACAATTTCACCATAAACAAGAGATGACGACACTAGGCCCCTTTTTGATTTAACGCCAAACATCGCTTCATATGGACTCTAGCATATGCCTTTGACAAGTTATGTTTTTGGAGAATTAAACAAGCCTTTAAAAAGAAATCGTGGATGACAAATGAGATTCTAGATATGATGGAAGAGAGGCAAAAGTTCAAAGATTAACGACATGTCATTATACAAAATAATCGATAAAAAGATTAAAAAAGCTATTAGAATACCTAAGAATACACATCTAAGAAAACAGTGTTCGGAAATACAGCAATTGCAACATAAACACGATACATTTAATATGCACAAAACAGTTAAAGAAGTCGCAGGCTTATACAAACCTAGAAGAGTTGGGTGTTTGGCAGATAACCAAGGCAAAAAACTGTTATTGTGGAAGAAAAACTAGACACTTGGAAGAATTATGTGGAAGTAACTTTTGCAGATGAAAGGCAGACTACCATTGAAGACACCGAATGCCAAACAGGACCCCCGATTACCATTGAAGAAGTCACGTCAGCTACTAAAAGAACTAAAGATGGTAAAGCAGTAGGGCCTGACGAGTTTTGTGCAGAATTCATTAAACTTATTAATGAACAGGGAATAAAATGGATACCAACTGTATTCACGAACATATACGTAACTGGAAAAATACCCCAAAGCTGATTAAAGTCTACCTTCGTGACCATACCAAAAAAAGTAAATGCCAAGACATGCGAAGACTAGGCGTTCTTGAAAGTGATACACGGCAAAATATATAAAAAAATGTGAAGAACAAGTATCATGGGCGCAGTTTGGATTCCGCGATTCCTTAGGCACCCGAGTGGCTCTATTCGCTGTCCAAGTACTTATGCAAAGATGCAGGGATGTTAACTGCGATGTGTATATTTGTTTTATCGACTACAAAAAGACATTTGATAAAGTAAAACATGATAAACTCTTAAACATCTTGAAAAAAGTGGGGTTAGATGATAGGGACTTGAGAATCATCTATAATTTATATTAATACCAAACAGCCAATATTAAAGTGGATGATCAATTGACAAAAACAGTCTCCATAGATAGAGGAGTGAGGCAAGGATGCATTCTGTTCCCGACATTATTTAATATATACTCTGAATATATCTTCGAGCAAGCGCGGGAGAACTACAAGAAGGCGTATTAGTCAACGGAATGCGTCTAAACAACATTAGATATGCCGATGACGCAGTAATTTTTGCAGATAGTCTGGACGGTTTGCAAAGAATAATGTCGCGTATATCATACATAAGTAAAGAACACGGACTTGATCTTAATACGAAGAAAACAAAGTACATGGTAGTCAGTAAGCGCGAAATATTAAATACACAGCTTTTGGTTAACCAACATCCAATTGACAGAGTGGACAGCTACACATACCTTGGTACCAACATTAACAGCCAATGGGATCACTCCAGTGAAATAAAACAACGCATAGGAAAGCGAGATCAGCGTTCATAATGATGAAGTTTCTTTTCAGAAGCCATGATTTGCCACTTGCTACCAAAATCTCTCTTATTAGATGCTATGTATTTTCTACCTTATTATACGGACAGACACTTTCCGAAGCTTTCTTAAGAAAGCTCGAGGCATTCGAGATGTGGGTTACAGACGTAACTTAAGAATTTCATGGGTGGATCGTGTGACTAATATTGAGGTCCTACGTAGAATAAGTAAGGAATGCGAGATTATTAACACCATCAAAGAGCGCAAACTAGAATATCTAGGCCATGTTATGAGGAATGAAGGTATGGCTTGTTGCAACTCATTCTTCAGGGCAAGGTATTTGAAAAGAGAGGACCAGGGAGAAGAAGAATATTTTTGCTTCAAAACCTAAAAAAGTGGTTTAATACATCGACAACCGGACTATTCAGAATAGCAGCAAGCAAAGTTAGGATAGCCATGTTTATCGCCAACATCCGGAACGGATAGGCACCGTAAGAAGAAGAAGAAACAAGCCTTCTTACTGTATGTTATGATTGGCTCTTTCTGCCGATCCTTGAGTTTGACTGTGAAGAGGTTTTCCGTGCACTATTTTAACATCATTCCACATGGTGCATAGCTCACATATACTTCGATTATTAAATTATCTACCACTTCTCGAATGTAATATGGCGGGAGCACCAAATGTAAAAAAAATTTAAGTCGGTGATAAGCCACTTCTTCCGCTCTCTTGGTTTGCAATGACCGCAGGTGAACAAACTTGATTAAATGAACTTGGTGTTCAATCAAAAATTAATTTGTAATCTAAGATTATTCTTAACTTCTTAAAATTTTATAGTCTCACCGGGTATAATTTAAACATTGTGAAAACATATCGTATTATATTTTAATAATTAGTTTTTTTACCTACAACTTAATAAATTGCCGAATAATGTATTTTTCAATTGAACTTCCTAAGTGTTGCAATTACGGTCTAGATTAAATTGTAATGTAGCTCATAGCTCAAAGTTTGTTAGTATGATAGAAGCAATAACCTCTGTGCTGAGGTATACATTATTTGTGAGATTATAAATTGGGGATGTAAGCTCATTTCGGGGCAGTCTGTTATAGACAGTTACCTAAACAACACCTGTAGTGTAATAATTAGTAGCTGTCAATAAAATTAACATTTTTACTCCACAACTTCAACGTTTTATTCTATTTATCATCGTCTATCGAGAAGAAGCGGACAAAGGGGCATTATAGAACGATTCGATCCATATAATTACGTTCGAATCTGTCCACTTCGTATACCATTAAAATTATTTAATCGCCATATCTATGTGACTGCAAATCTGTTAAGTCGACTTGACATCTAGAGTTACATGCGAAATTTTATTTGACACTATTTGTTAAAACTTGGAAGACACACTGAATTTTGGGAGTATGTACTAGATTCCTCTATCGGCCTTAATAATGATATCTATCTTGCTGAAATCTTTTATTTTCGCAGCCCAATTCATACTTTTTGTGTAGTACTTTTTAAAATGGCATATAAAAGGTAAATAAACTAAACATTGTGTGACTTATAGTGTTGAATTTCTACAATTTGTATTTTGTTTTTTTAGGAAACTAGATTTAAATAAAAGAAGAAAAATGTCAGACCACGACGACGGTCATAACGACAACCATCACGACAACCATCACAATGACCATCACAGCCACCATCACGACAACCATCACGACAACCATCATCACCACCATCACCACCACTTCCCCAAAAATCCTTATGCCACGTCAACAGATCCAGAACTAGATCCAGGTCCGCCCACCAACAATCAGAAGCCTCCTCTACCATCAAGCTGGAGTAATGGACCACACGGGATACCACCTTGCAAGCATGTTTCTTACAGCTACTGGTGCGACGACTGCCAGCAGCATCGCCGTCGTTATTATAGCAAAAAAGACTTAGTTTAAACAATCGGTCAGTTTTACTTCGACTATCAAGTTGTTATATAAAAAATATATTAAAAATCATAATAAATGTATATGCATGTATATTAGGTATATTACGGTATACCGCAAGGTTACTACACTAGTCTCGATTTTTCGAGTCAGGCTATATAGGATCGAGCCTGTGCAAAACATCATACCAATCGCTAAGAAGTATTCACTTCAAAAAAAGAGACATTGTGAGTTAAAACTGGTTCACTGGGCTCTTCAAATATAGAGTAAAAGGGTTTATTTTTGACCCTTTCAAGGATCGTATATCAGGCCCAGGGGATCCTAAAATAGCCATGTATAAAGCCATATAATTAGTGAATTTGTTTAGGCAGATATTTACTTATCTTTTTGTCTTAGAAATTAAACAAATTTTTAAGACTTGTTATTAATAAATGTTGATTAATGGGGTTTTGGTAGCAGCAATTATGTAAAAAGTAAGAAGACTGCATACTTGGGGCACATTATACGAGGAGAACGATACACTTTTCAGCAACTGATACTCGAAGGGAAGATAGAGGGTAGGAGAGGTCTCGGACGTAAAAAAATGTCATGGCTGCGCAATATTCGACAATGGACAGGAATCCACAGCTATGAAATGCTTCGCAATGCTGCTAAAAACAGAATTATTTAATCCAGAATATTTAACATCTCACCTGACAAGACGATGTACGGTGGACGCCTACGCAGAAATGCACGGCACCTTAAGAAGAAGAAGGTAGCAGTGGGTTTCTTGTGACAATATTCACATTCGGTTGTTAGAAAACGGCTAGAATGAGAGGAATATTTGTGCATTTTAGTTGGCTTAAAAAATATAAAGAGAGGTTTGAAGGATCGATGTCCTGCCAGGAGAAGAAATTTGTATTGTGGTTTGAAGACTCGAAGACGTCACTACAGTTTTTCCTGATACGACAGTGCTAATTAGCAGAGTTTTCAAAAAGTAAATTTTGTGAAAAGTTGTGTTTTGTGTTTGTGGAAAGAATTCCAACTGTGGAAGCATGCAAAAGAAGTTTTTCTAATAACGCTTTGTGAGTCTTGGCCTGCTCAACAATGTTCTTCCATTTTGCCCTGTCGGATACTTTCCTTCGCCATGCGAACATGTTCTGTCTACAACAGCTTTTAAGTTAGATTAAAAAGTGTTGTTGATAAGGCATCACCTTGTCTAACTCCATTTTCAATATCAAAGGTCTGCATCATATCTCTATATATTCTTACCATAGCTTTGGAACCCTCCATAGTCATTTGTATAAATTTAATCAACTTATTGGGTATCCCTAACATAGATAGATGTTTTAACATCTTTTGTCGATCTACTCCATCAAACGCCTGTTTAAAATCGATACACAAGTTGTAAATTGGTATGTTATATTCAACACATTTTTCATGTATACCTCTTCACATATGTATTTGGTCTATAGTAGTTCTCTATTCTGAAGCCACTTTTATCAGTTCTGCAGTTATTTCATCTGTGCCAGGTGCTTTGTTATTTTTTAGATGCTTTTATGACGTTTATCGTTTCTTCCAATGTTGGTTACTCAACTAGTTGTTCTGCTGTGTGGTGAATTATTTCTTCATCTTCGTTTTGTTCTTTTTCTGGGTTTAACAGCCCTTGAAAACCTTTTCAATATTTCCTCTTTCTCGCTGATAATTGCCTCATTTTTGTCCTTGCAAACTGTTGATCTCGTCATGTAGTCTTGGGTATATGACTTGGTTTCCTTGTAAAATGTACTAGTCTCTCTTCTGTTATAAATAGATGACATACTGTAAGTAAAAAACAGATGTATAGTTTATATTTGACCAAGAAGATCAGTTGAGCTATACTTGTGTCTGAAGAGAAGGAGTTGACGATTGAGTATGCTGAAGTAATTTTTGAACATCACAAGTAAAAAATTTCTTTTTTAACTTTATGCACTATTTCTTAAACTCATCACTACTGATCGATCATGATTATTTGCTGTTGTTAAGAGAGAGAGAGAGAGAGAGAGAGAGAGAGAGAGAGAGAGAGAGAGAGAAAGAGAGAGAGAGAGAGTTTATTGTTTTTAAAATGAGATTACATTTATAAAACACAACATGGTATAGTACAAACAAGGTACAAGATATATTGAAATGCTAATTATAAAATTTCCATAATTAAAAAATATATATCAATTAGCGCAACTGTCCTAAAAAAATTTATCTATACTATAATAACGTTTAGATAATTGAAACATCTTGATTGCTCTTCGGAATACAAAAATATTGCTTGAGGATCTTATATCGAGTGGTAGGTGATTAAACACTTTCTTACCAGTGTAAATAAATGATTTGTTATTTAATGTAGAAGAGGGAATTGGAAGTGGAATAACATAATTTAGACGAGTATTATAAGGGGAAACTGTCCGAATATCCTCTTTATGTTTTTTAAAAATTAAGCACGCTAATTCAAGGATATATATGCAAGGAAGAGTCAAGATACCATGTTTCCGGAACAGAGGCCTGCATGATGTACCAAATTTGACCTTGCATAAATATCTGAGTGCTCTCTTTTGTAGCATAAAGTTTCTACTGAAATGATGAAGAGAACAGCTACCCCAAAAGTCAATACCGTATCTCAAATTAGATTCAATCAGGGCCACATAAACACTTTTTGCAATCTTGAAATCTAAATGGTGAGCAAATGATTTGACCGCAAAGCAACCCGATAATATCTTTTTGCTTAAATATACAGTCTGTTGCTCAAATTTAAGTTTATTGTCAATATAGATACCTAAAAATTTGTTTACGGTATCAGAACAAATGCTTTTATTGCCCAGAGTAATGTTTTTAGATCATTCTTAAAAGAAATTAATTTAGTTTTTGAAAAATTAAATGTCAAATGATTAGCTTTGCACCACTCTAAAATTTTTTGCATATCACTACTAATACTGTTGTTCAGTACCGTAGAGTCCTTGTTTTGTCAAAAAATTGTGGTATCATCTGCAAATATAGTAAACCGGCCATTAATCTCGAGGTTAGTTATATCGTTAAAATATGTCAAGAAGAAAATAGGACCCAAGACAGAGCCTTGAGGTACTCCACAATTAATAAAGATATTACTAGAGTAGCGCTCATTGATTGATACAGACTGGCATTTGTCTTCCAAGTATGAACTGAACCACTTTGGAGCAGTGCCTCTAAAATCATATCTTTCCAGTTTATTAAGTAGTATTTTGTGATTGACACAGTCAAAGGCTTTAGATAGATCACAGAAAACTGCGGCAGCAACATAATCGTTATTTAAGTCCAAGTATAGTTTTTCCATGAATTCAAAGATGGCATCATATGTACTTTTTAATGACTGGAAACCGAATTGGAAGGAAGAAAGAAAATTGTGTTTTTGTAAGAACGTCATTATTCGGATTTTTACCAATTTTTCTACAACCTTTGAAAGTGATGGCAACAAAGAGATAGGACGATAATTAGTAGGTAAATCGTGGTCACCACCTTTGTACATAGGAATAACCTTAGCACATTTTAAACAATCGCTAAATTGATCCGTTGAAAAAAATGTGTTAATTGTCTCAGATAAAATTTTCAGAACATTACTAGGAAGGAGGGATAAAACTTTAGATGGGATATCATCCCAGCCTGAAGCCGTGGGATTTTTAATGCCTTGTATAATATTTTTTATTTTAGCCGAGTTAGTGGGAAGAAAGTAAAAGGAATTTGTAATGTTTACTCCATTTAAAAAATGCATTGGATCAGAAGAAGAATTAATTTTTTCCAGCGAGTTCTGGACCTACCGAGCAGTAATATTTATTCAGATCACTAGGATCAAAGACTATATCTGTAGTTTGGGAAACTTTAGCTCTAAGATTATTAACTATACGCCAAGGTTGAGGAGCAATATTGAAGTTTGCACGTGAGGATAAATTAGGTTGAATAATAATATAAGCACTTTATAATCGACTCCCTGTATGCTTGTTTTAAACGAATTATTCCTTAACTAATCTCGTAAAATCTTTCACAACCCACAATTTCACATCATTCGTACAAATTCTTGAAATTCAAACAAAGCGAATCCACCATTTACAGTCGACAGTTCATTTCCCAACTTTCAGTCATAATTCTCACGAAGTTATGTGAACCAAATTCAAAATTACACACCACTGAATCACCTCCAAGCTCGCTGCTGTATAGAAATCATCGTCGGCATAGCACATTTAACGTCCTCTTTCAAACTTATGCTCTTCATTATCTTTTTACCACCCCAAAGGTCAACAAATCTACCACCGCTCCAGCAAAAAGTGAAGGGTGTATCTTTACGACAATCTGTCTTATATCCGTGTCCATTCCGTCCTCGCTTTTTATACATTTACAACGGAATCTGTTAAATTTTATTACATCTTTCTCGAAAAAGAAAACAACATAATTTGAGATTTTCGCTTCCCGGTGACGGTTTTCATAGCCGCCGAGTGACTCGGACGAAAAAAGTTCAGGATTCTCGCTGCGAAGTAGGGAAGTTTTATTGTTGTGAGGCTTAACACTAAATCTTTAATTCAGTGTTGGTCAAATACAAGAATTGTGTGTTGCACTCAGTTAATAAAAAAAAGATGGTTATCATCGAGAGCGAAAACTGAAAGTATTGCAGGAGAAATAATATATTCTACAAGAAGAATTTTTTGAATGCATTAATAAAGTAGTCTCTGGCAGATTTTGAGGTCAATATGTATTTTGGGGCATATAAATATAGGGTGTTTCAAAAAGGTACGTCATAATTTAAATCACGCATTCCGGGGATAAAAAATATATTTGTAAATATTGTATCCGAAGAAAAATTTTAAGGGGGTGTGCAGCCCTAAATCACCCAAAACTTTTGTGTACGTTCAAATCAAATGAATTTTGTTGGATCATTAGTTTAACACATTATTTTTAAAACTTTTTTGCCTCTAATCACTTTTTTGAAAAACTAGTTTTTTCCTAGTTGGCCATAAAATTACAATAACTACTAGTAACTGAT